CCTGGCGTAGTTTTGATTGGGCTTTGCTAGAGGTTTTATATGGGGTATTTTAGAGCAGGTTTTTTTATTCAATGTTTATTGCGATTTTTATTATTGCCTGTTCACCGCCCTGAGTCCCGTAAGGGAGATAGGGCGGTATATAAATTTAAACAATCAATCAATCAATCAATCAATCAATCAATCAATCAATACATACATACATACATACATACATACATACATACCGCTTACAAACTCCAATGGTCAGAAGCGGGCAACCTCTTAAGCGCCAACGAAAGCCACCTCGTTTGGGTAGATAGTTTTTGCAGCTTGCCCGAAGCAGAGGCGCTGATTCAGTTCGGGGCAAGCCAAAGTCAAATCCCTACGCGAGGAACCCCCGTTTCCTAAATCAGCGAGCGGTAACGCGGACAATGACAATGACATTATGTACGAGCGGATTCCTGCCGTTTCAGGGTTTTCCCGAAGGCTGCCGCCAATGGGAGCCCCCCCCCCCCCCCATTCTCTTGTCCGAGTCGCCGCTCGGCAGTCAAGGCAAGCCTCGGTCGTGCCTCGGCCCGAACCCTCCGTCTCCGGCGTTAAGATCGGCAACCGGCTTCTTTCCGCGCCCGCGCGCAGCTACCTTTTCGCAGCCAGCCCCAGCGCGGTCTCGGAAAAAAAAAGTCCCCGGGAATTTTAAATCTATTTTCGGTCCTTTGCAGAGTCCTGGAAAGGGGATTGGGGGGGGGGGGNTTATTGATTTAAATTTCTTCTTCCAATCCAGCTTCCATTAATATATATTGAATATATAGGTAGAATAAACACAAGTTGAGGAGCTTGTCTCATTCCTTGGCCAACCTGGAGCAATCTGTTTCACCATGTTCTGACCATATTGTGACTTCCTGACTTTTGTACAATGAGATGTTCTGAGATTCCAGGTTGTTGTTTTTTTTAACACTTTCCGCAGCTTGACATGATTAACATAATTGAAGGCCTTTCTATAATCAATGAAGCACATATTTGCCATTTCTTTTTCCATTTGAGCTCTAAACTGTTGGATGACCCTAAGCATTATTTTGTTAACATGTGAAATTAAGAATATTATACAATACTTTGCACATTCTGTTGAAACTTTTTTCAAGGTACAGTGAACTCTTCCAATCTGAAGTCCACTGTCTCCTGTTTCAATTACATTTCCTTCTTTCATTTTTCTAACTTTGGAATTCCACTCACCAGTGACAAGCAGCACATCTTGCTTGCATGTTCTGTCAATTTCATGTTGAACTTGATTATTTAGAGTATGGCATCTACAGAGATCGTGCAATCATTGATATACGAATTTAAACAAAATGTTAGCATATGCAATTCTATGGCTCCATATTATGGTGATTTTATTATGGTTTATCTTAATATTTCATATTGTATTGTCCATATATCATATATTTATATAATAGAATTGCAATGGGATAGATGTTATAATTCGATAACTAAGGAACCTAACCATCTGTTTCTGGTATGGCTGCGACAAGATCATCCCAAGTGCCTTGAAATTTCCTGAGGAGACATTCTTGAACTATATCTGTTAATTTTGTTCCAGAGCATCACAGTCATATTGCGGGCTATCAGCCATTCCTCACTTTAAGAGCTTTGCCTTAGTGCTGGCATGACCTGTCCTGATTCTATTCAGGTGACGCCATATCTTTAAGGCAACTGCATTCCTGGAAGTGGTTTTGTTAAATCTATTTAATTTGTTTGGTTGTAATTATTAAAAGTCACCCATCTTAATTGCCATTCTTCATCTAGATCAGAGGTAGGCAACCTTGGCTCTTTTATGACTCGTGGACTTTAACTCCCAGAATTCCTGAGCCAGCATGACTGGCTCAGGAATTCTGGGAGTTGAAGTCCACAAGTCATAAAAGAGCCAAGGTTGCCTACCCCTGATCTAGATCATAAGACTGTGGTATGTTATCCCAAATTGGTTTCCTAGACTTGAATTTGATGGTAGAGGTTATCAATCTCTTCTTCTGTATCATCATATTTGACGATCATCATATTAAAGAGTTTTCCGTGAAGTCTAACTGATATTATTTGTTCACTTGTCTTACTAAACTCTTTCTAATTATAAAAACTGTTCCTTGTGTTGTTTTCAAGTCCTAAGTAATAAATGGTGGTATCTTCTGGATGAAAGTATCCAAATCCAGTCCATCTCAATTTGCTGATCCCTACAATGTCAATTATCAGTTCATTTCATCTTTCACTATGTTGAGTATTCCCATGGCTCGTGCTTCTTACATTCAATGTTCCTATTGTGATTCTATTTTTGCAGCTTTGATTTTCTTTTTCTATATGGCACAGTCAGCAACTAGATATTCTATGACTGCCCATGTCATAAACGCCATTGGAACTCTGAAGGATCCTCAGTTCTTCCTCAGTAGAATATTTTATTTATTTATATCCTACCTTTATTGCTTTTATAAACAAGGCAGCAAACACGCACAATATTCTTTCCTCCTCCTATCTTCCCAACAACCACCTTGTGAGATGAGTTGGGCTGAGAAAGAGTGACTGGCCCAAAGTTCATGCATAAAGCAAGACTTTCATGCATAAAGCAAGACTACAACTCACCATTTCCTAGCTTCTGACCTGGTGCCTTAACTACTAGACCAGACCTGGGCATTTTACAGCCTGTGGATCATATTCAACCCTTCAGCTGTCTGTCTGGCTCACATGGGGGGACATGGGGGCCCTCCACATCAGTTCCATTTTCTCATGTGGACCCTTGGGAAAGTTAATTGCCTACTCCTGCACTAAGACCTGTTTGATCCTCATTGATGTTGAGTGCTCTCCGGCCTAAGAGGCCCATCATCTGGCACTATATCATCAATCATTTTATATTTCTATTCATTTGGTTTTCTTAGTAAAAATCAGGAGTGGTCCTTTGCCATTGTCACTAAAATAATTGCCTGCCTCTGGCACGTTCCTACATCACTGCAGCCCAATATAGATGTTGGCTTGCTTTAGCTGGACAGTGGGATGACTTTCTTGCCTTGGGTGACCCTGCTGGGAATATATATTCCTGGCATATACTCCTGAGGTTCTTTATACACACCCACTGTGAAGCAGCACACAGCAGGACTTGGGGAGAGACAAATGTACACACACACACACACATCAACAGCTGCTTTGCAAGAACCAGCCTTAGTCCTCCAAAGGGTCAAACTGTGGTTAATCGAAAACCCTGCTTGAAACTTTGCAATGCGGTCACCTCTCCCAGGCTTGACTGACGCCGGCAGGGAGGCAAGAATTATTTAACCTCTACTGAATAAACTACCATCGGCTGCGTTGGCCCAGCAAAACAACCTGGCGTAGTTTTGATTGGGCTTTGCTAGGGGTTTTATATGGGGTATTTTAGAGCAGGTTTTTTATTCAATATTTATTGTGATTTTTATTATTGCCTGTTCACCGCCCTGAGTCCCGTAAGGGAGATAGGGCGGTATATAAATTTAAACAATCAATCAATCAATAAATAAATAAATACCGCTTACAAACTCCAATGGTCAGAAGCGGGCAACCTCTTAAGCGCCAACGAAAGCCACCTCGTTTGGGGAGATAGTTTTTTGCAGCTTGCCCGAAGGAGAGGCGCTGATTCAGTTCGGGGCCAGCCAAAGTCAAATCCCTACGCGAGGAACCCCCGTTTCCTAAATCAGCGAGCGGTAACGCAGACAATGACATTATGTACGAGCGGATTCCTGCCGTTTCAGGGTTTTCCCGAAGGCTGCCGCCAATGGGAGCCCCCCCCCCCTTCTCTTGTCCGAGTCGCCGCTCGGCAGTCAAGGCAAGCCTCGGTCGTTCCTCGGCCCGAACCCTCCGTCTCCGGCGTTAAGATCGGCAACCGGCTTCTTTCCGCGCCCGCGCGCAGCTACCTTTTCGCAGCCAGCCCCAGCGCGGTCTCGGAAAAAAAAAGTCCCCGGGAATTTTAAATCTATTTTCGGTCCTTTGCAGAGTCCTGGAAAGGGGATTGGGGGGGGGGGGAAGAGAGAAGAGGGAGGGCCAGGAGCCAGAGAGAAGCCGGTTTGATTTGCATAGCTTTGCACGTTCCCAGGAGGAGAGCCAGCTGGCGGAGGCTACTCCCGCAGCCTACGTGTGCGAAAGAACGTAAGCTGGCGGCTGGAAAGAGATCCCGCCGGGCGGGCGAGGAGGTGCAGAGATAGCGGTCAGGGAGAGCTCACATGCCGCTGAGTAACGCGCTCTGGGTTACTCGTGGTGCAGCGCCTGCCCGGTGCCCAGGAAAGAAATTGGTCCTCGGTTCTTTTTTTTCCCTATACTGTATACACGCGTACACTCACACCCATGCGCGCCTACATGCGCACGTACACACCCAGCTCTTCTTTCTTTTTTTTTCCAAGTCCTGCGCTTTTAAGGTTGCTGCAACAACTTCTGCGCACCCCTCTCGGGGTTTGCGTTAACGCTTTCTCTGACAGCTTCTCCCCTTTCAAAAGGAGCGCGAAGGCAGACATTTCGCTCGGTCCCAACGAGCGCTTCACCCCCATTAACTGGCTTTTGAATGTCGGTCGTATGAGCGAATGCAACTTCTCGCAATAGTGTTCGAAACCGGAGGGACGTTGCTAGCTGCAAAGGAAGAGCTTGTTAGGGGTGGCACGTTCTTAGCCCCAGCAATTAAAAGTCTGAATCCCAGGTATTGGAGGACCCGCTTCTCCAGGAGTCAAATCGCCTTAAAAAGAATCTGGTCTGAATCTGATCTGCCGGACCAGATTTACCTACAGTTCAAGTTAGGAAGGCTCTCCTTGGAGGTAAAAAAGCACTGGAAGCTTCCTAACGCTCCCAAGGTCCATTACGTTTAATTTCAAATGGAGTTAAATAAAAATACTCCCTATTTTTCAACAGCCTTTCCCCCCCACCCTCCACTGTGACCTTAGTAAATGGCCCCGCCCCTTCTCCCCCCCCCTCCCCGGCTGCTGCTCTATAAAAAGGCGAGCGGAGCGCGGAGAGACAGTGGTAACTTCAGTGGCGCAAGCGAGGTAGGCGCGGAGCCGAGCAGCTTCCTGTGTTATTTTGCATTTACGTTGCAGGAGGATTTGCTCCCACCTTCGGTTGGATTATCGTCGTTATCAGGTCTGCATTTTTATTCTTGCTTGCTTAAGTGGGACTTTTAAGGCGCGGGCGGGGGGGGAGAAAAAAAAACAAAGGAGAAAGAGGCGTGTGCGTGTGCACCGTGGGCAGCGCGGGTTGTCAGGTCGGTGGCGCATCTGAACGCGGGCGGGCGAGAGACGCTTGGCTCGGGGCTGCCGGTCCTTGGATCGGGGCTTCCCCTGGAAGTTCAAGGGAGGAGGCTAGTCTACAACTAGCCGTCGAGCGATGGTCGGAGTTCAGTTCTGTTGTGCAAAGTGGGAGAGGGAGGGGGGGAAAAGCAGCGATGAGCAACAGGAGCGTAACTTTAAAATGTTTTTACCTGGGGTTTGGTTTTTTTTGGCGGCGGGGGGGCGGCGGCTTTAGCCTTCAGCCTTCTAAGCAAACCGAAAGTGTGTAAAACGAGAACCCTGGACGCTCAGTATTGATCTTGCTGTAATGAATGATTAAGCAGACGTTTCGTATAGCCTGGGTTCGTTCCTAAGGTCCTCAACTCGCTTAGGAGTGGGGAGAGTGGGAGAAGACAGAGGGAGAAGAGGAGGGACCTGTTTGGAGCACAGAACTGCCAAGAAAACCCCCCCCCTTTTTTTGGAGACGCTCAGGTTGGTGTTGACCCTTTGCTCTTCTCTCCCCAGACAAGATGAAAGCCGTTTCGCTCGCCCTTCTCTACCTGGGTTCTGTGTTGTTCTTCGGAGTAGATGCAATCAAGCTGGATATTGCATCAAACTTCAAGAGGAAGTAAGTAGGCATCAAAGCGTGACTTGTAGCTAAGACTGGTGGTAGAGACAGGTAGTCTGCCTAGGATCTTCCCACCATCGCTGTTCTTTCAAAGTTTGGGGACTGAGGGGGGGGTCTTTAGTTTTAGTTGAAGGACTCCAGGTCCCCCTTACCAGCTCTTATGGTCAAAGGCAGACTATCCCTCAATAAGTCACTCCTTTCTCAATGGAAGGCAACTTGCGAGTTCTACACCACCAGCCTAACTCAGCGTTTTTTTAATCTCTTCTTTTGCCTCATCTCTCCAGGTGGTCCACAAGGTTGCTGAGCCGAGCCAAGCGGGATCTGCCAGCTCAGGTGGCTGCTGAAAACTTCCATTGGAGCCTGCTAAAGCGAGCGGCTGATCCAAATGTGCGTTCTTTCATCCGCACCCAGGATGTGAAAGACGAGCCCGCAATGCAGCAGCCCAGGTAATTAAGTCTTCTCCTCTGAATGTTACTGTTGCTACGCTCAGCGCACTTGCTGCAAGGGAGAGGGAGGGAAGGATGGGGGGTTTGAGCAAGAAAGAGTACGATAAAGGAGCCGGACTTGGACATGCTTCCAGCAAGGGAGGCGCACACACCCTTGGAGATGCCTCCCCATGATGGTTGAAGGCGAGCTCCTCTGGCACGTTGAATTTAAGTCTGTTATCTTCTTAAGATAAATGTCAGGTCTGCAGGTGCCACAAGTAGGTCAAAGTGCCTAAAGCCGAGAGGGGCTCATTCCCCAAAGGGCTCAAAACTGGAATCTTTAGGAAGAACCCTTCTCGGTTTGCGGCAGCTCTGCTCTGCATCTTGGTTTCTTCCCTGGGTCTTGCCAGGTAGTGATTTCTTTCTCTTCCTTCCGCTCACAAACTTTTTTTTATTTTCCTTTTCTGTGCCTCAGCCTGCAGACCAGACTCATCCGTATGAAGAGGGAACCTGCTTGCAAGTTGTCGGTATGTGTCACACAGGACTTACTCAACCGGCTCAGCCAATGGACCGACTCTTCCAAAGACCTCTCTGCTCCTCCCAAGAAGCTCACCATATCAGGCTACGGGCGCAGGCGGCGCTCTCTCGCTTTCTTGCTCCGCGGGTAGGCGTTCGCGCGGCCAGTTTGGTTGAGTTGGAGTCCACTTTGATGCGAATCGATGTGTTCCCAAACTTGGAGAGGATAAAAAGACTTGCTGCAGCCCCCTGATGGTGAAAAGGGGAACGGGCAAATGCCCTCCAAGGACTCAGGCTTTAGAATACGGCAGGAACAGGTGACCAAACTTTGCACCCCTCCCTAAGTATCTTGTGGAATAAAGACTGGATGGAAGCTACAGAGGCACTCTTTCGTCAAGTTAGGTGGTGGTGGTGCTGGTGACTGGCTCTTCTCTACTTCGGGGTGACTGCCCTCCCTTTCTTCCCCACATGGATATGGAATTGGCAGGTCCTTCTCTCAGGAGGGGCGTCTTGATACTTGAATGATCTGGCCTGGCAAAGTGCAATGGACTTAATGTGTGTGAGGTGATTTCTGCCTGCTATTGAGTAAGGATGAGTGAGCGAGTGATTGCCGATGACAGAAATCAATCCTATTTAAACAAATGGTGTTCTGTTCTTGTATTCTTTTTAATGACAGAGATATTTTTATATTATATGTATAGACATAGATATATTGCTTATGGGCATTATTTTTTTAATTCCCAAAATTTTGTTTCCTGACTTTTGGATCACCCGCTGTAAAACAGTTCTAGGGGAGGAACAGTCCTTTTCAGAATTGGCAGGATGTGCTCTTTTAAGTTAAATTTTGTAATGAGAACTCTTAAAATATTTCACATTCACAATGTTAACCTAAGCATCTTTTCTCTAAAATAAACCCTCTCTGAGTTTTGGTGGAGGTGGCTTTCCTTGTAAGGATCTGTTGTAATATCTTAGTTTATGATTCAGTTATACTTTCTGTATGAAAAGTGCATTTTGTAAGCATCGTGGAGACCGATGGAAAACAAGCTACTTGTCAGGAGTGCATTGAAATGTGCCTCCTGTAGTTTTCACTGTATTTATATTAGTCTGTTTGCCCCATTTGATGAAGTTATATTGCCAATCTCTCCTAGGTCAATATGTGAAAGAAATAATAAACCTTATTGCACAAAAAGAATTCTCTGTTGATGTTTTAAGACAAGATGGGAAGACACAATGTTTCATATTTAGCTTTAGAATTACATGGATCCCAAACTCCTTAATTGCCGTAGTTTGTCATTGGCCAAGAAGCCAGCGTTAAGGCCAAAAGCACCATAAACCTCAAGGTCCCGTCTCTTCACACGTTTCTAAGTGAAGCTAAAAGATGCCAGAATTTGGTCTGTTCATTTATTTATTTTATTGTAGTTCTGTTACTATTTTTGGCTGCAACTGAAGCAACTGTCCTCTTCATGTTGCACAACACAATTCAGAGATTTATGCAGGGAAGAACATATTCTTAGAAAAAGAAAAATGGCCAAAATAACTTCCAAGGTTATTCATGTTAAAAGGATTTCCCGGGCCACAGTTCAGGTTTAATCCAGAGGTTTGTTGTGGGCAGAAACACTCATTACAGCCAGAGACCAAAACACAAATTGCATCAGTTTCTAATCACAATATCATTTAATGCAACAACAGCACCAGCTAGTGGCATAATTTATCATTAATACTGTTTAGTACTGCTATTTGCTTTCCCAAGAATATCCCAAGTCAGTATGTCAGATATTTATTCCTAAGGAATGTTTTGCAGTGCAGTACATGGATTATTGAGAAATTTGAAAAGTATTATAGATCCTAGAATAGTGTTTTTAAATCTTATTAAACTTATTAAACTATTCTATTGTGTGGGAAACATTAACATCAATTGCAATACTGATTTAAAACTAGTAAAATAATACTGTATGACCTGAAGACAAAGGGCTGGCTAATAGTACTAGGCAATAATAGTAATCATCAGAAGAAAATAAAATGGTTTCTTTTATAGACACCGAAGCCCTGCTCTTGTGAAATGCTTAGTCTAGTAAGACACTAGTCCAGCGGTTCTCAACCTATGGGTCGCGATCCCATTTGGGGTCGATCGACCATTTCACGGGGTCGCCAAGGAAGGCTGTCCGCCATTTTTTCCCCTTTTCCGGCGGGTGCCTTACCTCCCTTGGGCTGGGCCAGCTGGTGGTCGGCCTGCTCCGTCTCTGCCGTTTGCCAGCTACGCCTCGGCCGGCGCAGGGGGCGGAACCACGCATGCGCGGCGCTCCCGGGCAGGGAAAGTCCTCGACTTACGACCGGTTAGGTAGTCCTCGACTTACGACTGGTTTAGTCCTCGACTTACGACCGGTTGGGGGTCGCGGCATTAAAAAGGTTGAGAACCACTGCACTAGTCTAATCAAATTACCATATTGATAGTTCTAACACTACCAGTTTAGATTAACTGGGTCAGAAGTTTGTATTTGGAATATGGTCTTCCCGCCCTCTTCAATGAATCCCTGGGAAGTGCTCAGGAAATTCCTAGTAAGGCTTCTTTACCAGTGCTTTTCCAGTTGCCTGAGTAGATACCCAGTTCCTTGTGGCTTGGCCATTACAACTGAGCAACATATGAAAGTGTGTTCTTGCTGCTGGACTTTGCAATGAGACCTCTGATGGAGAGGTTGGCTTTCTCATCCTTTCCTCAGCTGCTCCATCACGCATGAGGCAAAGTGGGGAAATTGACAGGGCTCTGGTAGTTTGGTGACCTGGATGAAACAAAGTTGGCTTAACCTTGTGCACAACTGAGTCAGCTTCCCACAGCCTTCTTAAGTGCTGTGGAACAGCGCCCATGTACATGAATGTCTTTAACTCAAAGTACCAGACAAGAATTTAGATGCCAAAATCTAAAAACAATGGGTTTCAGCTTATTCACAGATGATTGATTGCACAGATGGGTTTATTTGTCAGTACATATAGTAATATTTTTAAAAGTATCTGTATTTTCCATGTGTGCAGGTGGATAAAGGCATCCATAAATAAAACTGACTCTCAAATTTTCAACCAAAATACATACAGGTGGCACCTTTTTCATGGTATTTTGGTTGAAAATTTCCAGATCAGCTTATACGCAGATGGGCTTATACATGTGTGTATATTGTAATCTGGTGGAGAGAATATACATTTCATGGAAACAAGATTTTTGCTTTATCACCAGCTGCCCTAAAGTATTTTTCTATTAAGTCTGGTATTGTTCATTCTTCATGGTCTCAGAGCTCTCCTGAATTAGGGAATCTCCATAAGTCCCTGAACAGCATCCTATACTGTGCTAGCTAGGGATATTGGAAATTAAGTTTCATAATACATAGGATATTTGGTATACATATATATATATGTAAGTCATAATATTATCATACATCGGCACTATCCTTGATACTTTTAAAAATAAAAATGACAAGGATGTAAACTGATCTTTTTCATGCAAAATTATATTCAGTTATTTTTTCCCCTCTTCATCACATAATAATCTTCTATTTTCTTTTGCATTACAAATCTTACCATAATCATATGGTCGATCAGTAAGAAATACACATTTAAGAAATACAGCAAATGTCTCTTGTTCTCTTGGTCTACCAACTTCAATTTACAAGTGTTCCTGTAATTGCAATCTGTACTTCTAATTACGAAATTGGGTGCCTTTTTTTACAAACAATTTTTCTAGATATTTGATATGCTATCCTCTTCTAGGGTGGTTGCCTAATAATACATTATAGCTTTACATGGCCACAGACAGAGAATGAACGACGGTGTTCTCTAAGTAGTGTAAAATTACAAAACAATATTTTAATTTGGAACACATTTGCCACCATGAATTTATTGTACAGATCCTCATCTTTTATAAGAGACAATTGAGAACCTAAGTATCTGTGGACTGTCACTCTCATAACATACCTTTCCAGTCTTTAAAATATACCTGAGAGGAGTTCCGGAAGGGATCTTGTCTATCAGGAATGCAATTATTAAGTGTGCAGGAGAGGGGCTTTTCTTGTTTCATTTCCAGGCTGTGCAATGTGAGGAACTGACAATTCTTGACAATTATATTTGGCTCACATCAGCTTTTAAACATGCATCTTTCAGTTTCAGGCTCAAGCCCAAAGACGAGACAGTGAGATCCAAGCAAGCCCAATCCTTTATTTGTTTGCACCTAAGAGACAGAATCTTGCCAAACTAAAGATATAACTTTCTAAGCTACTACATATATCAGTGGTGGCGAACCTATGGCACGCGTGCCAGAGGCCACACTCGGAGCCCTCTCTATGGGCACACGTACTGTTGCCCCAGCCTCGCCTCCTACCACAACCCCGTCCTCACCAACAGCCCCCTGGAGGAGAGTGGCCCCCGAGCATGGCCCACACAGAGCAGTGCAGCCAAGGACATGGCAGCCAGGCAGTGTACACAAGACTCTGCCCTCACATCCCATCACGCACAGTTGATGCTGCGGGGCGCGGGCAGAGGGTGTGGCCGCCATGGCGCTGCTGGGCTGCTTGGGCGATTTGCTGCGGGCCTTGGAGGCGGTGAGTGGCCCTGTGGGCAGGCAGGGTGAGGGATGGGGTGGGGGCGTGGCAGGGGTGGGGCAGGGGGTGGTGCGGGGGCGGAGCCAGTTTTTTAGCATTCGGTCTCTAAAAGGTTCGCCATCACTGACATATATCCTCAAAGATTCTAAGGTGTGGGTAGCATGATCCCCTTGCCCCCTCCTCTATCCAGCTTGGGGATGTAAGATCTCTTGAATGGGGCCTTTTTCTGGGAAAGCTCTGAGTTAGCAAACTCCTCCCCCTCTGCTGCTGCAGGTGCACATTCCATCACACTCATTAGGCTTTTAATGGTTATTATATTTAGTGTTACTTTTAATTTTTTAAAAAAACAAAAACAAAACCCTGTTGTTTCTGAATTTCACCTATCCACCTAGACAATTCATTTGAGCAGCAAGGTGGAATATAGCTGGAATAAATAAATAAATAAATAAATAAATAAATAAATAAATAACATACTTTTGATCTAGTGACTTTATTTTTCAGAAAGCCAATACAGAAGATCAGTTCAGAATAATAATGGATGGCAAGCAAGGCAAAAATAGGCTTCTACATTCATCAGCTAGAAGTTAGCTCTGATTTAGGTTGACACTTTTTTCTTGGAATATACAAATAAGTTCTCATCTCATTTTAAGATGCCCACAATACTAATGTTATGACTTCTGTGATATGGGCAGTGCTTTTTTTCTAAAAAAAAAAAAAAAAAAGGTGCCGGAACTCACACACGTCATACAACCCGCCTTGCCTACCCTACAAGGTTCCATCCAAAAAAGGTGCCAGAACTCTGTTCTGGGCGTTCTATGACAAAAAAAGCCCTGGATATGGGATGTACTTATTCAGATATAGCTGATCACCAAACTGTTATTTGTCAGTTGTATTTATTGGCTAACTCTGCATGTTTTACCAGAAGAATTTATTATGCCTTCTGTTGTCAGCAAGAACTATACTTTAAAGTCTGGAACCGTAATGATTGGAAAAGGGTGATTTCCAGTTGCAATGCATTTAATTGTCAAACAATATAGTCCTAGAGCCCCATGTATTTAATGAAGACATACATATTTTAATATATTGTTTATAGCTGGGTGAGGCTGTAATAGCAGGATGTTGCAGGGTTTGTAAATGTATGTATAAGGAATCCCAATTTTTCATTCTTTAGGGATTATAAGCTGAAATGTACTTCAAAGCAGGGCTAAAGTGTGCTTGTTTGCATACCAGCAGCATGTAAAGGTTTTGCAAGCATTAGTTAGCATTTCTTAACTTGCTTAAAGCATTTTGCCTTTTTTGGCTGTATAGAACTATTATGTCTCATAAAAAAAGAATGGTTAACAACAATTTTTTTAAAAAGATGTTAGAAAAGTAATCAAGAGTGACAAGGCCTTGGTTTGCACAATCAAATAACCAGTGTGCTATGGAAGGCTATAAGACATATTCCAGGAAAATAATATTAAGTGGGATTGTGCTTTTTTTTTTCCTAATCAGGTTTTGCTGATTCCACACTCGGCTATTTTTAGTTCCTTTCTTAGCCTTCTTCTAAATATTGCTGTATTTATGCAAACCTTGGAGTTCATGAG